ATATATATATATATAATAAAGAAACCGCCAAGCCATGGAGGTAGTGGGATAAGTGATGGTTCATTGAGGAATTTCAATGATGGCTTAACAAAATACTTGTGAATTGTTGATTGTGAAACTCTGTCAACCTTCACCCAACTCACAATAAGATTTAAAAAAATGTATATATACCAAGATGGAGAATATGCCATGAAACTTTAACTTCACGTGTTTATATTTTGTTTAATAAGGTTTTAATAAGTTTATAGCAATATTTTTTTACTTGCCACTGTATGCACACATACATACTTGGAACGAGTCCTGTTGACACAATAATTAATGACTCACGTATGAACATAAATTTGGTTGGTTCTAGCCGTGGAAGCTTTCATAGGAACAAAGTCCTGGTGATTGACTCCAATAAAGATTACAGCCAAGAAATCTACGAGCCATTCTGCCCTTCCATCGGGTCTGTTAAGAGTTCGATTGACTCCGCGACACCTTATCTTCTTCAAAATATAGCTCAGTGGATGGAGAACATCTGCTCACCGGGTAGAAAGCCCAGAGCTCCTGCGGAGGAGCTGCTGGGCCGTTCGGACTATTGACGGAGCAGATTGCCGTCCGACACTGACCATGACACCGCCAGGGCTCCTCGGGACCAGAAAAGTCATCAACACCAGCTAACGTCACTTGCCTCACCAAAGAATAGCAGTTACTTTAAGAGTGAGTTAATTAAATGTTTACCAGTAAGCTCTGTGAATGTTGTTATAAATTTCCAAATGACCCTTGTCAGAAAAAGGTTCTCCACCGCTGGTTTGGATGATGGGCGCCGACTCATATACGCCCTCACTGAATTCAACAATGGTGACTCTTCATTTACTCTATTTTTAATGATGAAAACACAGACTCTGATTTAATGGCCCAGGGGCACAGTTGGCACTAAATGAGTTGTAAAATTTATTACAAAATCATTATAAAAGTACAGAAGCCATAATTTCTATGATTAGATATTTCTATAAGCTTGTTAGAGAGTGTATGAGACAAGTGAATCACCCTTCATCACACACCTGTTATAACGAGTACATTTCACCTTAAGAAGAATGCATTGGCCCAGCATAGGTAACTAATAAGACCCAGCTTCATTCTCACTGTTCAATATCTCATACTGTCTTTTGTCATTTTATGCCTCGATATTTTCATTTCGCTTTCAGTTCTAACTTGAGAATAGATAACACTGGCACTGGTGTTCATTGATGCAGCGTTTGTTTGTTTAGGTCAGTCCCAGCAGTGCTGGACTGCTAATCTCAAGGATGGCTGTTCGAGCCCACACCACTGCTCTGGAGGAAAATGCAACGAGCTCCGGATAGAATTGCAGCCTCCGGGAGCTGGAATCGACTCAGGGGCAAGTGGGGTTTTTTTGTTTTGTTTTGTTTTTAAGTATTTGTTTAGCATCAGCCATACAACATAAATTGTACTATAATATTGATTCATAAGTATTTATTACTTCTCTCATTGTTCTTCAAAGGACATTTTCTTTCTTCTTCTCTCCCTCCCTTTCTTTACTTTTGATATATTTGTTGTGAAAACTCATATTGTTAGTTTATCTACAGATTCTTAAAATTTACTTCACTTAGGTAAACGTTCTGCTGGGCAGTTAGGGTCCTCCCAGGTCCCCACTGTGGGCAAACCTTAACTATATCAACTTTTTGTTTCCACTGTTGTTTTGAAAACATCAGCTGGTTTCCTTTTAGTTCTTCCCCTCGGCTATTGATTGGTGCCCTAGAGTCGGGCGACTCAGAGATCTTACGCACAATGGAACAAAGCCCCGCCCGGGCCTGGGCCATCCTCACCACTGCCTCTTCGCCAGAGCCCATTGTTGCAGCCACTGTGCCCACCGGTCCCCTGAGGGCCAGCCCCTTTGCTCCTGTTCCTCTATAAGCAGGGTGTCTGTGCCAGGGACTGGTCCTCCCTAGGTCACTTTTATTTTCTCCTCTGACTGTCTGTAGCCTGCTCTTTCTTCTAGTAATGATTTGTGCAGCTGTGGATTACTCCATGCTTTCTCTTTAATTTTAGTATTAAAAGGATCGTTAAATATCTCTATATTCCAAAAACTTCCATCCAGTGTTGTTGTGAATAATGTATCTCCTCAGTTGACTCTTAACAATTTCTGAATCTCTGTTTGCATCATTGTATCTCTCCACTGTTACTGATATCTTTATACTTCAAATGATTGAACATTTTGATCTATTTCCAGAACAGAGTTTGGCATCAGCATTTATGTTTACTAACGATATGCAACATATTACTTATGCTTGGCCTCTCAAAAATGTCCTAAATTTCCAATCTACTCATACATGTTTAGTGTTTTAATGTTTTGTTTTCTTGTTTTAAGCTAATATCTTCATTTGGGCTTATAAAAGGGGTTGCTATAGGCAGCTAGTTCCATATTACAAGAGACAGACATCCCACACGCGTGAGCATGTCTCAGGTGGAGAAGAGATCGGTACACATGACCATTGGCAGTCTTTCTCACTCAAGACCCAGTAATAGACATGTGCCGCCCAAACGGAGAGGTGATGGGAAAATATAAATTATTTTCATCATGAGCTAAAATTGCAATATGGAAAATATAGTTGATAAGAAAGGATTAGTACCCTCTTTCCATGAAAAATAACTTTAATATCTGAAGTTTTCACATAATAAACATTAACAAATTCAGTAAATAGACTACTGTTGAGATATTTATTCACTCGAAACATAAAATGTACATATTGAAATCCTACCCAAGATCTGCTTTAAACATAAAATAATTATTTGTGCTTTATTTTCCAAAATTGCTCTCTGATTAATTTATTGTATAATTTACTCTGCTTTCTCTGTCGCATTCTATTTTCTTTGCTTAATTGCTGAAACTGCATCTTCTATGTACAGCTATATGCATCAAGTTTACAAATAGTAGAATATTTCACAACTTTGGACAAAATGCTGCTAAATACAATTGCATCTGGAATTCACTTCTTTGCCTTCTGGGCACAGTCTTCCCATTCTAATTGACTTAAATACAAATTCTATTAAGTGTGGGAAAGCAGGAGGGCAGGTTCCACAGCATACTTTAAATGGCAGTGGTACAGCACACTAATAGCTGTTTAATTTGTCATTGTCAATAAGATCAGATAAGAAAGAACTTATCAATCAGTTGTATTCTAAGATCATTAACTTAATTTCAATGTAAAGTATTGGCTAGGCTTTGGCGTTCTCAACTATTGGCAAAAAGCACATACATACTGTAAGTTTTCTACAAATTATATTTCTTTTATGATTTCTCTGAAGTCTACACATTAGAACATGCACTGGAAAAAGTCAGTTTAAAACTTACAGTTTTACAAATACTAAGTGCTATTTTGAGAATATGCCTTTTCACCAGAGAAATGGAATATAAATTCTCAAAGGTTATTGCTCTCATTTTCTGTCTTTGTTTTTCATGTTAATTATGGCATGATTTCAGAATATTTAGGTGTTATGATGTTACTATTTGAGACCCTTCATTTCTTTCTTTCTTTTTTTTTTTTTTTTAACATTTTATTAGGGGCTCATACAACTGTAATCCCAATCCATACACACATCAATTGTGTAAAGCGCATTTGTACATCGTTTCTCAAAACATTTTCTCTCCATTTAAACCCCCGACATTAGGTCCTCATTTTTCCCCTCCCTCCCCGCTCCCCCCTCCCGCATGAGCCCTTGATAGTTTATAAATGGGTATTTTGTCATATCTTGCCCTGTCCGACGTCTCCCTTCATCCACTTTTCGGTTGTCTGTCCCCCAGGGAGGAGGTCACACACAGTTCCATGTAATCGGTTCCCTCTTTCTTCTCTACCGAGACCCTTCATTTTTACAGAACATACAATGTTAAGAATAGTCCTAACTTTTATTTATTATGATGATTAGTAACACATAAATAAAGATCCACAGATATACTTTTTCTCTTTGAGTTGTTAATATTAGTATTTGTAAAAATAAAGTATAGTGATTTTAATATCTATTCTGGTAATTCTAAAGTTAAAAATCAATTGATTGGTATTATAAAGATGTCAACCAGATGACATATAATCAGTGCTAAGAAATCAGGTTGCTTAAAATGAATGGACATTTTAGCTACTTTCTGAGCTTTATGACTGTCTGACTGCTCTTTTACTACTGATCTACATAACAATTTTTGGTAAAGTACTTTCTGATTACCTTGCTTGTGTCAATAGAAGTTCAGCTTGAAAGGCTGAAATTCTTTCCTACTTTTATAAGACGCAAATAACGAGTGAAATTGAAATACATTTATATACACAAAAATAACCACTCATTTCACTCGTTTCTTTGGTGGATCGGCTGTAATAACCCTCTACATGGTGTCTGATGGTTGTCATTTTCCTTCTTAGAGAAAAAAATAAGAATTTGGAAATAAAGGTACTTTGTCTAAACTCTCATTATTTTTATTATTACAGAACTCAAGAATGTAGTGTATATATGAATGAAATTTTGATAAGCAAAAAAGCACTACATCCTCACTACTATGGATTTTATCTAGAGATATTTTAGTATATATTTTGATATGTATTTACATGTAAATTAACAGAGACATACAATTAAAAATACACTTCTACTTGTTTTGTTGTAAAAAATATATTTTTCCTTGGTAGTCTTAGATTTATGTAAAAGTTAGAAGGACACTATATCTGCTTTGTAGTATTGTTTCCCTATACTTGATTTCAGTCCTTTCACTGTAGTAAGTTATCTTCTCATCTAATATATTGACTCTATGAACATTTCTTGACATCAGTATCCAATTCCCGACTTTGCAATGCTTCTGATTTTTATTCCCTTAAAAACATTTAATCTAATGAAATTGTTTATTCATGAAGAGGCCAAGACTATTATCCAATAGGATGTTCTAACTTTTTGTATGTATGTCTGCTTACTTTGCTTCCTTTAGTTTAATTTTGGCTGACTCTTTTTGCTGTTCCATGATGTTATCTAAAGGAACCAATTGTTCTGATATGGGAAAACAATATTTTTCTCACTTGACCTTGATAACAATGTGACATTGAAATGGTCATTAACCCCTAAGCACCTCAATCATTTTCCTGAGATTTTAAATAATTGTTTGTTTTAAAGATAATATTAATTCTATTTTCAAATTTCTGACATTAAAATTACATTGACATATAGAAAAGACAAATATATTAAAGAGTTTTAGAAGCATTTATGCAACATAAACATTTATATACAGGGCTAGTAAATGCAACTAATGTTTTATATGTGATAAAAAGAGCATTAATAATTTGAATTTAAAAACTCATTGAAAAATTTATTGTATTTTAAATAATCTTCATGAAAATACTCAGAATGTCATATTTTACCTGAGCTTATTTTACCTATTTATTTAAATGCTCTTTTAAGTCATTTTAAAATTACTTTGAACAAAATCTTAGTAAATGCTTCTTTGCATTTGATAAATTGAAATATATTTGGTGGTTGTTGGGTCAAATATTATTTTAGACTAGCTGTTTGCTAACATTGTTTGGCTCTTCCATAAAGTTACTCATTGTTTATACTATCATTGCTACTTGTTAAGCAGCCCTAGTGGTATAGTGACTTAAGTGTTGGGTTGCTACCATCAAGGTCTACAGCCCAAACTCCTCAGTTCCTCCTAGGAAGCAAGATGAGGCCCTCTGTTTCAATAAAGGTCTACAGTCTTGGAAACCCTATGTAGAGGCACTCTGCCTTGCACTGGACTTCATTGCAGTGGGTTTTGCTACTTGTTTATATTAATTTCTGTTAAGACAAGGTTGAAATCAACTATTTTTATGTATATATTTATTTTTATCTTGACCATTTATCCATTATTTTTCCTATATATTTTGAAGTTCAAACCAGTCAGGGTGTAGTATAGCAATGATGAAATATACAACTTTCCTGTAGTTCTTTAATGCATCCTCCCCCGCCCAACTATCATGATCCCAATTCAACCTTACAAATCTGGCTAGATCAGAGGATGTACACTGGTGCAGATAGGAACTGGAAACACAGGGAATCCAGGGCAGATGATCCCTTCAGGACCAGTGCTGAGAGCGGCAATAGAGGGAGGGTGGAGGGAAAGTGGGTAGAAAGGGGGAACCAATGACAAGGATCTACATAAAAACCTCCTCCCTGGGGGACTGACAACAGAAAAGTGGGTGAAGGGAGATGTCAGACAGTGTAAGATACGACAAAATAATAATAATTTTAAAATTATCAAGCATTCATGCAGGAAGGGGGAGCAGGGAGGGAGGGAAAAAGTAGGAGCTGATGCCAAGGGCTCAAGTAGAAAGCAAATGATGAGACCAACAAATGTACAAATGTGCTTGACACAATGGATGTATGGATTGTGATGAGTTGTGCGAGCCCCCAATAAAATGGTTAAAGTGTTTTATATATCTCTATCTCTATCTATATAGATATGTCTTCATGAAGAATTTAATCCTTTTTCATTATGTAATGTTTTTCCCTGATAATCTTCCTTTTTCTAAAGCCAGCTTTGTTGCACTTGTCTCAATAATTTGATTAATCTTTACCTTTACATAGCATATTTTTCCCATCATTTTATTTTTGACCAATGTCTTCTTATTTAGATTTTTGATAGACAGTTTACAAATTATTCTTGAATTTTATCTAATGTGCCAGTCTCTATTGACTTGAGCTTTTATATCAGGTATACTTTAATGTGATTATCTGTGTGAATTAAATCAAGCCATATTGCCATTTTCCTTTTATTCCACTGATTCTGTTTATTTTCTGCCTCCTTTTCTCTTAATTGAACAACATTTGTGATTCTATTTTATCTCTTTAATTGACTTGTTACTCTTTTGTTCCTGCATTTTTTGCTACTTGTCCTAGAGTTTAAGGCACACATCTTTGATTTATCCAAGTCTATCTTCAAATCATCATACATCTGTGGCACAGTGAAGTACATAGGTGCATCATCTAGCTATAGTCTTTGTAACTCCTACCAAATAATAGGATAGGATAATGCTCATTGATTTCATTTCCTCTTTTCCTGGTTGGACTGGATAAGAGAAGGTGGAGGAAGATGCTGGTGGAAATATGTATTTCCATTGTGACTGGTTGTTAACAGAGCTAATTGTGATGGTCGATCTTTGTGCTTAATCAATTTTGGCATCCTATTGGGTACAGGTAGAAAAAAGACTAGGCTTTCTACTCCCATAAAAAAGTTAGTCTCAGAAACTCACAGGGGCAGTTCTACCCTGTCCTATAGGGCTGCTGTGGGTCAGAATCCACTCAATGGCAGTGAGAGTGCATTAGGTATAAAATGGCAGCACAACGGAAGACAGATGGGATTTAATGGCCATCAAGAAATACGTGTGTAGAGCATGTCTTTTACCCCAACTTTTTGCACAGTGAACTTCAATATTCAGAGGAGTGGCAAGAGTAGCAGCAGCTGCAGAGCAGTGGGCTTCCTAGGCCACCAAAAACTCACTGACCTTGAGTTGACTCTGACTCAGAGTGACCCTATAGGATAAGATAGAGCTGCTCTGGTGGGCTTCTGAGACTGCAACTCTTTACATGAGTAGAAGCCCCATCTAGCTCTGTGGAGCAGCTGGTTATTCCAAACTGATGGCATTCTATTGCTGCTGTGCCACCTGGGTACCTTGGGAGTGGTCTGCTTCCAGCACTTAACTGGGGATGCCAGGTTGCTGAAACAGAGTACTATAGCCCAGTGCCTTCAGCATGAGGCCTGAAGTAGAGTAGAGTGCCCTGTGGACAATGATTATAGTCTTCAAAGTATATTTACACACATATTAGAATTACTGAGATTGTTAGATAGTATTTGCACGCTCAGTTCTAAATTATTTTCTACTTACCTTTCTGATCTACTTTGAGTAAATTTTATAGATCTAACTTCAAGTTCACTCATTTTTTTCTTAGCCATTTTGTTATTATTAGCCTATGAGGTAATTCTTCATTTTAGCTACCATATCTTTTATTATAGCTTTCCCATTTAATTCTCTTTTACTTTACATGTATCTGTTGAATTATCCATCTGATTTTGTGATTTATCCACCTGTGATAGGTAGGATTCCTGTCAACCTGGCTGGGTCAGGATCCTCAGTGGTTTGGCAGTTTAGGCCTAGTAATTCCACATAATGTTATATAAAACAAAGTGATCAGCTATATAATGGGACCTGCTGTGAATAGTGAATCATTTCTAAGAAGATTATGGTGGAGTACAACTCTCTTATTCAGGTACCAGCCCTGATTCAATTAAAAGGAAATTTTCTCATTCTTACATTCTGGTGGAGTGGAACTTCTTAATATCCCTCTGCTAACTCCCACCAAATGACTGGGTGTACGATACAAGTAGGGTGTGTGTAACACTATCAGGGGATTGGTCCATTTTAATCACCACCACCCAGCTATTAGGATGTTTCTCCTTTGTAGCTATTAAGATGTTTCTCCTTTGCAGGAAAAACAGAGAACGCCAGGGTCATTCAATAGAATGTTCTAGATCTGTCAGAAGTGGTGAGGCTGACAGCAGACGAACCAGAGCCTGTGTCAGAGACTGGGGTAGAGCAAGAGGAGCAGTGGCAATCCCAGGGGACTGTGAAACAGGACGACAGGAGGGCTTCCTGGTCTACACAAACCAACAGAGGCTGCGGCTGAGGCTGAAGACCAGAGAAGAACTTTGTTGGTGGCTGAAGAGAGCTATTGCTGTGGGCTGATGGTCACAAACTTATTTACTCATCCTGATATTTGGTAGTTAACTTACCTAATAAAACCCCTGAATCGTGAGTCATTTCCTGTGAGTTCTGTATGGCCAGTTCAACAAGCTTTTGAACCAAGCCTAGATACAGAGTGCCGTTGGGAAAATGGTTGGTGTCAGAATAGGGTGCAGGCATGTCTGATTTCTTCCTAATGACAATAGAGAAGCTAGAGAAGGTCAGATATGGCTCTGATGCCTTGCACTGCCTATATAAGTGGACACCATAAGGAAGCTAGTTGCTTCTTGCTGGGTCTGGATCATGCATCTGTCTCATTTCCTGCCAATTCTTTCGACTTGGGCCAATGACCTGTCCTATTGCCTGCCATCAGAAGCCTAGAAGTCATCAGCAAACAGCCATGTGACCTGCTGACCTTGAGCTTATTGGACAGTGTAGCCACATGCCTGACTTCCGGACCTTGGATTCATCTCCCTCTTCATTGACTGAATTGTGATCTGCCTGCTTTTGGTTCCTAAGCCTCACTAGCTATGCAAATCAGGAGAACCTTTAACTTAACATTTAAATAATTAATTGAATTAAATTAATTAAATATAGATAGATGACACTTAGATCTCAACCATTTGCTTCTCTAGAGGACCCATCTAACACCTAATTTTTCTTAGAATATTTAATATGTTTATCATAATTCTTTTAAATTTCCTAGGTAGCACTTTATGAATGGTAATTTTCAGATAGACAACTAGAAGTTCATCAATACACATAGCTTGTAAATAAAAACAAAGCAAATTTACAAAGCTGGCTAAGAAAAATAGTGGCATTAGTTGACTGACCTAATTAAAAATATAAACATATTTTCAAAAATAGCACAATTAAGAAAAAATTGAAGAAATTCCATAATATATGTTGTGTCATATAAAAAGAAGTTTAAAAAAGAACTCCAATTTATTTGGCTGGGAACCAAATGTAAATAAGAATGTTAGCCCTGACTATATTCCTCAAATAGCTGGATTCACACAGCGGTGCAACACTAAATGTGAGGGTGGCACAGGACTGGGCAGTCTCTCCTTCTCGTGTGTGAAGGGTCACCATGAGTCAGAACTGACAAGACAGCACCTACACACGTGTCACCATTTCCCTATAGTTCTCCATTGATTGGGATGTACAATCAATGCCAAAGGCATCTGAACTAAATTGGATGGAGCATTGTTTCTATTTAGCCTGTGCACCACTCTGTGCTGCTGACACTGGTGATCTTAAAGTAACTTCGCTAGCTCCTATTATTTCCAAAACCGTTAACTCTATTTATGTCCACATATACTAATTTATTCTAAATCATTCATCCCTAAACAATTTCCTAGGTACCAAAAAGTAATTGTTTAGGTCACATACAGATGTGCAGTAATACACACGTTGGATGCCTACATCTATCTGCCTACATACATGTTATATTCATGGAAAGAAAGAATAGTGTCCTGCAACCATGGTGTGTATTGGGCTAGATCTAAAATGGGGCAAAACAAATCAATAACATTTAGCATGCAATTAGATAAAAACCCGTACTTCTTTATTTCTACATCAGTTTTTATTTAATCATTGGTGAAACTATTTTTTGTCACCGATGACGTGCCTCTTAGATATACATTAGATTGTACACCTTGACTGCATTATATATATAACTCAAAATCCTCAATGATCATTTATCTTGTATTTGAACTACACCTTTCACCTACAAATATCTTGGTAGCGTACTATTGCCTTGCAGGTAGTATAAGTGGCGTGGATATTCTAACAATATAAGACACGTGTGTCCTTTGCACGCACACATGGTTTTATTTGCAGACTGGCAGATCCCAGTTACTTTGCTGCCATTGTTTTTGATTTTCAATCTCTTTGTTTTTGCTCTACTATTCATAGCCACAACGTAGAAAGAGTAGGAAGCATGATTTTTTAACAACAACATTCCACCCCTCTAGGAAATGCCTTCTGAAAGATATTGTGTGGAATGGCCTTCCTAGATATTCCTACGTACCTATGAATAGGTAGGAAGTCTTTTGCATATATATAGTAATAAATGCTACTTATTTGATGTCTCATTTCTGTCCTTCCATTTATGGATTTTTTTTCATGTTTTACTTAAAGTATGTTCTTTTTGTAAAAAAGTTTGTAGACTAAACTCATGACTGTTAACTACTGGTTGCTACATGTATCAATATGAAATAATTTACAATAGTCAATGATATAATTATAGATAAAAGTAAATTGCAAGGATAGTACAACTTTTTGTCATAGGGTTGTTATAACAAAAAAATTTGCACAAGACAATGTTTCAAAAACTTTATTTTCCTCACTATCCCCTATCTCAATGTATCTCTGAATTTTTCCCCTAGTTATTCATCCTATAAAAATTTAATATTATAAAATAATATATATATCAATCTATATTATATAACCCTTTTGGACACCATACCGAATTGTATGATCTAAGTGTTTTTACATTCTATGATTACTTTTTTGCATGATATGTAAGATAAAGTCTATGTTGACTTCATTATATTTTTTGTTCTTGTTCATTAAAGAAAATTAGATTAAAAAATAGCAACAGCAAGAAAATGCTAGTTCCAACATTGGACATACTTAAAATAACAGATTCATATTTGATTTTCTCTACCTTTTATCTTTAATGTAATTATTTCTGTATAATCACAATAGTTTAGTTTCATATTAATTACTTTTAAATTATATATCCATGTTTCATAAATCTGTGGCAATAGAATATAAATTAGAATATTATACAATATATACTTTATTTTCATAAAAAATATAAAGTTTGATAGCAATCACAATTTTTAAAGTGTTCAATTCAAGGACATAGAGCCCCTTCAAGTGAGAGAAGTGGAGAAGATACTCAGCAAATCATAAAAGGGACAGAGAACTTCAGACAACATTGGAACTTTGGAAACACTGACATTGACACTTCATGATAAACTCATTTTGCTGAGATGGTTGCAGGGCATTTGGGAAAAGGTGTATTCTCAATATAATCTTAAAATTGTAATCATATGATCAGTACATCTGGACAATAGCAGTCAAAATTAAACTAAACTTTGTCTGAATAGTGCAATTTTTACGTGGCTCTGTCAAATGTCAGGCTTCCCTCTCCCTCACCAATTTCAAAATGTTTCACCATGATTTCAAACAGTGAATCATCCCATCCTGTGCCAACCATCTGTTTTGTCTGCCCCCTCAACGACTCAAATTAGATGATAGAGGGCAGGGCGGGTTCTGAGAGCAGTCATTAACACCAGCAAAGGAAGGTTCTGGCAGCAAACTTTCCTTTGGAAATTATGGACCGTTAAAACTGGCACAAAGAACCTTGCAGAACAGAGCAGTTAGGATTAAAATAAGCATATGAGCATGGATACTTCGGAAAATTTATTTGAAGATAAATAGATTAACTTATCGATGGAAAAATAGATTATTAAACAAAGTTGAGAAGCGGTCATATAACAATACTTTCAAAAAACAGGTGAAACAAGGTTTTGGCGAAAAATGTAAAGGATCATTGGAAAGAAACCACAAGACACAAAGTCATGAGGTTTTGAAGTATGACTGCTATCTTCCAAATTTAAATGCTTAGGATGATTAGGATTTATATTTGCGGAAAAATATTTATGAATGCTTAGAGAGGTAATAAAAAGAATGTGTATCTTTATGTTGTATTTTTATTGGACTATATATCTAAGAAACAGAGAAGAAAATCCAGTTTAATTAAAAGTATAGAGTAATGGTTCTTTATGGAAATTCTTCCAGGCACTGTAATGTAAAAGAGCAATTATCAATGGTGACTAATAATTTTCATAGTTCTGAAAGTTAGCATGCTTAACTAGGCTGGCTTGCTCACTGTTTCTTGAGATGGCAGTAAGATAGATAGGGCTGGGCTGAAGTCTTCTTATAGTCTGGGACACTCAAATGTCCGGGTAAACCTAATAATTTTGAAGATGGATACCAAGAATGCCTCCAATTCCATTTGATTCAGTTCTACAGCATGTAAAATTCAAGAAAACTAGACTTCTTACCTGTGTGTTTTGAGCTCCAAATATATGTGTTTCCAAATATAGAGCCAGGTGATAAGATATATTGTATGTCTTTTATTTCTTAATCTCACAAGTCATGCGACAAGGCAATATGGCCAACCCATTCTCAGGGGCAAGGGGGTCAGATTTTACATTGTTATGAGTTAGAATTGGGTTTGGTTTTGGTTTAGCTTAATGAAAAATTGTCAAAACATGTGTCTGCATGTTTTATAACTATTATAATGATGATCACATTTTTCATATCAAATTATACAATGGATATCATATGCGAGAGAAAATAATGCAACCAATCCAGTTTACCTACTCTTGATGGTTTCCTAGCCTATGTTACTAAAAATTGGAAAATTCTGGATGAACTCAGAGGAATAAGCCGCATTACAATTATTGTAAAACACTGAAAAATGGGCAAAGCAAGATTGGTGTGTTAGGCTGGGTTGTATGGAGTACCAAAATTAGGGACAGTCATATATGTCTAAGAAAGAACTCTGTATCAATAAGAAATTTTACACAGTCCTACCCCGGTCCTGCTCAAGCCCAGGGGTGTGATGCCAGCTAGATCCCTCTTCCGACTCACCTTGCTGAAGGCTGTGACACAGAAAAGTGAAGGGGATGCTGGGAGAGCATGCCCCTCGGGTGCAGAGTCACAGGGATCGAAGGTCAGTGAGAGCATGGCAGAAGTTGACAGCTTGGTGGTTGGCTCCCAGAGTCAGCAAGCCACAGGAGGCTGCCCCAGGTGGCAGATTCAGAGTCCCAGCAAGGAGAAGAGGGAGAGAGAATGGTTCTCACTGTCTCTCTTGTTAAAAGACCACATTCCCAAGGAGACATCAACTGGGAGCTAATTGACAGGTGGGATTCCATCCTTACATTTTCACACAGATTCAAATTGACATAAAATCAAACTGGCATAATTCAAGAACTATTCAAGTAGGTCCTCACTACCTGAGCCTAGATATGATCCACCAACGCACATTTGATG